AAGAGACCAAACCCAAGTCCCACTTTATAAGGTGATATCTATCTTTCATACCTTTCTGGCATTTCACTGTGGTATACAGTATAGAAAAACATCCCTTTTTTAGGCTAGTACCCCTGTTAGTCCTGTTATATTTTTCTTAGAAAAACAGTGGTGAGAAACACGAGTAACAAATGCTAGGCGCTGCATTTTTCATCAACAAACTGGTGTGTCAACAGCAAGCCAAATTACTCAGAGCACTCAAGGCCAAATTGCTTCATAAGTTACAATATGACTGGTTGCTGACAAAGCAATGTAGCGAATCTGGTGCAGTGCTCGCTCCATAAAACAAACGGGGTTAGAGTTATAACTGAAATTAGTCTAATTCAGCTGAAAACACTTGATTTGTAAATACCTTGTTAAAACCTTGATGCTGTACAAGCCTAAACATTATGTGTGAGTCGGAAGCAAAACAAAAAACTTGACTCTTAACAATTTTTCACTCTCTGTCTCTCATTTGTTTTCATACCTGCAGTGTTTACAAGCATTGGAATTCCTGCACGCGAACCAGGTCATTCACAGGGACATCAAAAGTGACAACGTGTTACTTGGAATGGACGGCTCTGTCAAATTGAGTAAGTCCTATACTAATACTTCTCTGTTGCTTCACTGTAACTCTCATTAACTGTATTTACTCTTCTCCTCGACAGCCGACTTTGGCTTCTGTGCCCAGATCACTCCGGAGCAGAGCAAACGCAGCACCATGGTAGGCACGCCTTACTGGATGGCTCCGGAGGTGGTGACCAGAAAGGCTTATGGGCCTAAAGTAGACATTTGGTCTCTGGGTATTATGGCCATTGAGATGGTTGAAGGAGAGCCTCCCTACCTGAACGAGAACCCACTACGAGTGAGTGTGAACCTTTTCAACCCTCCCGGTTATTCATCTGTTTTTAGGTTCATTTCCAACACTTTGACCTTAAACTCTCATAATTGTCTCATCTGTGCTTGGAGTAAATGTCTTAGTCATTTTGACCCGGAACACACTGCTCTCTTCATATCCTCGCTCAATTATTGATTTCTGTAGACCAGTTATTAGATGTCACATACAGTTTGTTTGGGTTTATTTTACTCTGCTGCCATTAAGTGCTTTAGAAAAGTTAAGCGGTTTGTGCTGACTGTGAATGCTGGGCTGGAAAAAGCAGTGTAACTATGTGAGAGAGCTGGTGTACATTATTATGTTTGGGTGTGGCAGCAATGTCTTCAGGGTGTCAGATCCGGACACTATTTTTGTGCTCAGCTCTAAGCATGGGAAAACAAAGATGCAGAGTCTTGGTATAAGGTTAAGACAGTTTAGATTTTTCAGGAAATATAATATCAGTGTACATCAGACAAAAATATGTGGAGTCAAACTGTCCTCCTTAATTTTATAACACTAATAAAAAACAGATCAGGCTTTGTAAATGTTCTCGCTTTCGGATTGAATAGTTTTCTTTTCCCCTTTGGCAGGCATTATACCTGATTGCCACAAACGGCACACCCGAGCTTCAGAATCCAGAGAAGCTGTCTCCGATCTTCCGAGACTTCCTCAACCGTTGCTTGGAAATGGATGTAGAGAAAAGATACGGAGGCAAAGAGCTGCTGCAGGTTAGAAACTCTACTTCTCCTTGGATATTTTCATTGAACCTGTCTTGTGTTTTAATTGAATTATTCAACGGTTTATCTCTTTTTCCCCTCCTTCAATTTCTCTTTGTTGATCTGGTGTGCAGCATCCGTTCCTGAAGCTAGCAAAGCCTCTCTCCAGTCTCACACCTCTCATCCTGGCATCCAAGGAGGCCATGAAGGGCAACCGTTAGCTAATGAAGCAAGCTATCCTGCCTTCCCATGCTGTGCACGGATATGTGCCAACCATTTAGATTTTGTGCCAGACAATAGGCTAAGAGTGACTTTACACTCTTGATGCACCAGCCTTATAAGCCCTGACAAACCTCACTGTGAAGAAGACCAAAAATATAGAGCATAACTCCACCGCTGTCCATATGAACTCTATTCTCACTCAGATGTCAGAAGACCAGTCAAACTAAAGTGCTTAGTTTCAGAGTCCGGCGTAGTTATTTTGTACAACCAATCTCCTGGTGACAAGTTAGCGCTAGGCTTGTATTTAACTTGGAATGAAGAAGATGCCTAGTTCTTTTTTTAGTTTTTTTTAATCAACTGCCTTAAACAAATGCAAAATGTTGCCTAATGTATTGTTGATTGTGTCAATGTTTCTCTTCCCATGATTTGTACTTCCTTTGTAATTTACCTTTTCAGCTTGTCAGTGTCTTAGTTATTTTGATACTTGAATTTCATATTTGACCCCCTTCTTGTTATATAGTTGGTCTCATTCAATGAACACTCTTGCTATTTCCACATTGAATCGTGTTTTTGGGACATTTTCTAGTACCGGTTTTATAGGAAACATTTCAGTGCAGTAGTGTCGTCATCATGAACATGTGCTGTGAGTGTGTCGTTTTTCGATTGCCACACGTGACAGACCTACTGTACCAGTTCTTCCTCTGTATCATTAGTCTCCTGATACCAGAGGTGCACCTTACAGGCAAATTAAAATGTTAGATTGACAGTGTTTATACTTTCTTTATTGTTGTTATTAAAAATTAGTATTGTATGTTGAACTCTGTCCTCTCTGTGTTTTTCTGGACTAAACAAATGCTCTTTTCCCATGTATATAATGTGTACCTAAAGTTAGTTTGAAAAGTGTCAATATCATAGTGGTTAGCTGTAGAAGGCTAGTAAAGACAATTTGTAGACTGTTTATTTTTTGTTTTCTGGATGACTAACAACCTTGCAGCGCACACAAATAAATGCAACTGTTTGTGCTTTTGTGATTTGAGACTGAAAGTGATTGTTGTGCAGTATTACTTTAATTGATTTAATTAAACAAATAGAACACTAGATAAATGTATATAATGTTATGCATTCTTTGCTGTATCTAGGAAGTAGAACGAATTAAGAACTTTTGTTTTAATTGATAGCTTTATGCCTATAAAACATGATTATTTACAGACTGCGATGATACGACTTTAGGAACTTTTTTTCGTAGGTGTGAGCTTTGTCGATGCTTTTATTTTGGAGGTTTTTCCCGGAAGTGTATCAGTTTGACTTCAGGCCGATGTAACTCAGTGTAGCAGCTATAACGACTAACTACTACAGTTTCTTTCTAATATTTTCTGTGTAATGGCACTACAACTGAAAGACAAAGATGCTTACCAAAGAATGAACTATCTTTACCAGGTAGGAAATACATAATAAAGCAAAAGTTAATGGCTGTCGTGAGGCCAATGACAGTAGCCTCCTCACGTGGCTAACATGTTAGCTTATTTGCTAAGCAAGCGTGTAATGATTTTCTTCCACCGGTTTTATCTCTATACAGGCTGCACATTGTGTTTTAACACAAAACCCCGAAAATGTCGAGCTGGCTCGTTTCTACTGCTTCACACAGAAGACAATTGCAAGGCGTTTAGTTCTCAGACAGTAAGTTTTGCTCAATATTATCTAGTGTCACTCTCTTGCCTAGATTGATTTTATTTTGAAAGGTAATGACAGTAAGGCGCTGCCACTTCAGAGCATAGATTTACAAGAAGATGTAGAAATCCTCAAGATACAACAACCACAAAACACAAAATTGCACCAACAATAGTTTCACAAATGTGTACAAGTCAGCTTTATAATAATGCCCTCTCTTTATTTGGCCTATATTAATCATGTCCATTAGTGTTCTCTTCAGAGAAACACTAGTAGGCCTGGAATACTTTCAAAGTAATTGTCCCTCTAAGTCATATTTATTATTCCAAAAGTGATTCCAGAAAGGCAGAAACCAAATCTGACACATTTTTAAGATTTTATATTTTATTGCAGAGATCCATCAGTGAAGAGAACATTATGCAAGAAGTGCTGCTCACTGCTAATCCCTGGAGTCACTGCTACAACAAGACAAAGAAGTGAGTCTGTTCATTATTTATAGTGAAAGTCCATGTTTACCATGTTAACTTACATTGCTTACCAATGGTTATCAAATTGAAGATTTTTTTCCAAACAGTGAATGTATTAGTTAAAAATGTGTATGTGTTTGAAAATGTATGAACCCATTATAGACATGAACCTTTTGTTGATTTTGTGTCATTAGGAAAAAACAGCAAAACCCGGTTTACTGTTTTGCATTGCCTCAGCTGTGGGCAGAGCAAGACTTTACTGAATGATCCCAATCACTGTTTATGGGTGGACCGTCCTGAGGCTCTAATGGAGCAACAAAAGCAGCCAGGTGATGAGCCTCAACTCGACATTTTACATCAGCCTAACAGAAAATGGTTTCCATTGAAATACTGTGTTTACCAAACTCACGCTAATCACTTAACTACAAAACAGTTATTTTCTAATATGTTTCAACTCCCATTGAGGAAATAATGATTTAATCATGTTAACAATTGGTACTGACCATTATTTATTCTTTCTCACTCACAGATCAAGGCCCTTCCAATAAAAAACAGACGAAAGGCAAAAAACCTGATGGGCCTGTGTCTTCTAAACCCAGCGCTGCCAAGAGCGATGCAAAGAGTACTACCAGCACGTGACAGCGTCTTAAGATACGAAAGACCTGATATTACTTGCCTTTAAAAAAAAAAGATGTGTCCCCAGACTTCTAGTTATTTTAAGGATTTAGTTCCTTTTGGCCTCTGAGATCATTTTCTGCAGTGTTTTTGTCACCGAACGATTTTTGAAGCTACAAGATGGCCACCATGTCGGATACACTTTAAGAAGGAAGTGTGTATTTTTTTTTCAAATGTAAAACCTCATATGTGGTAATAATTGTATTAAAAACTGCAAACAAGAATGGAAGAAATGAATTTATTGGTCATTATTATATTCTATACATAATATTTTACATTTTCTGTACAGTAAAATATCTTGTCCATTAACCATTTGTTTTCAGAAAATGTCCTTAAAGGTTGATTGAAGGGAAAAAATAAAGGGTAGTTTCTTTCACTGTTTCTTCTTTTCTGCTTTGTCCCCCTTTGGTACTCGTGTCTTCTGACGTGTCTTCTGAGAATATAGTAGGTTCTTGGAAAAGATCCTTGGAATATGACCCATGTACAAGAACAGAGCCAGAATCATGCCTGGAAAACAGATACAGTGTGTGAACAGCATGTTTACTTTAAAAGAGCTCCACATGTTTTTCTTTTTAATCTAATATACCTGTGAGAGAGCCCAGCCAATAGACCACTGCATAGTCAATGAAGGTAAATCCAGGACAGTGGAAGGTGAGGCCATAGGACAAGGAGGGACTCATGTAGGCTGAGGTGTAGCCTCGGGCTGCAAAAAAGAACAGACAAATAAAGTTAATGTTATTTATTAAACTAACTAAAGCATAATGCCTGAAGGAAAGTGGAAGCCAAAACATAACTCTTATAAACTACCACTGGAAGCAAAGAAACAGCTGCTTGAATCATGACTAATATCAAGATGAGGTACAATTCAAGTCTTAAACTAGAGTAGTGAATAAGCTGTATGTAAGTGTAACAATCCTAACCATTGTATAGCTATTTTTAGCCAAATGTATAAAGATGCATCACGAACAATATAATTATTGACTAGAGGAGACATTTTAGTCAGGCTATAATTAAAAGTAATTAACTTGTCTAACAAACTAAATGATCAGAAACCATGTCATCTTGGCCTGCACCCACGAAGTGTGTGACTGCTATATTCATTTTTCATTGCGTTCCTATATTTCAATGATTTTTTTTTCACTGTGGGTTTTAAATTAAAATGTTTGTTTTGTATTCAAGTAATTTTCCTCAAGCAATATTCACAAGCATAAAGGTACCTTGCATGAGTGGAGTTTTACGACTTTTTTCGGATCGATGAAGAGCCACGTTCACCTAGAACTTACCTGTATGGGACAGGAAAGTGAGGAGGACTGCGATCAGCGGCACCCGGATCAGGGCTGATCTGCGTCGCAGGTTTAGAAGGACGAGATGAAAGATGAGCGTGCAGACACACTCAGTGAAAAAACCTTGAACCAAGGAGACCAGCAGAGATGAGCTACACTCTCTAGCCATCAGGTTTTTGATCATGTGCATGTCTGTCAGCTCCAGACTCCAGTAGTAAAGAGCTACAAGAAGCGCCAGGTGGGCCCCAAGAAACTGGGCTGCAACAGCAAGGAGAGTGGGTAGGGTGGTGGCCTCCCGCTGCAGGAACTTCAGCACAACCAGGGTGGGATTCCCTGACGCACTTCCACAGATAATACCATGGGTTAACAACACCACGAACCGAACGGTTAACGTCACATCAGGACCCAAGCCTCCAGCCCACTCACCCACCTCTACAATGGTCTGCACCTCCAACAAACATGCCACCAGCATGAAAGAGGAAGCAAACTCCAACATGAAGCTTAACCTTGGCCATTTTTTAAGAAGTGTTCGGACTAAGGCCGCAAAAATGGCAGCAGACACAAAGTATCCGAGAGATGCATTCAGTCCAGACATGGCTCAGGTCATCTGTCCCCTGCTGATTCTCTTCCAAAAGGAATGAATGGGGCTTTGACACCACAGCTCTGCAGTGTGTTTGGCAACGTGGCACATGGAGGGACATGCTTCTTATCAGAGAAACGTCAGGTTTTAATCCCACAACCACCTGCCAAAATACACATGGACCTCGACACAAGGTCAGGTCAAGATGTTGGCCTTCAATTGCAGGTCATTTATAATTAGATCACACGTTTGGGTAACTGCTTCCTTCATATCTCTACACAGGATAACATGTGCTCCTACTCTAAAAGTTCTTTATTCTATGGGACTGGATGGCTGGATACTTATTCAATTTAAATTACAGCATATCCCTAGTGGATTCAAAGGTTTAGAAATGTTGAAGGATACAAGCTTTTTTTGTAGCCCAGTTGTCCACTGCACACAAATACATTTTATAAGCAGTCTTCATAAAAAAAGAGTGGAACATTGCATGGGAAATTGTTGGTTTGGGTGGGGCGAAGGATTAAGTGAGGTCAGAGTATCATGATTCATTTAAAGAGCCGGAGGAATCTTCTTTAGAGTCATCTCTTTGTTTTTTCTGGATCTCCTCCACCTGGCGCTCTAAATCGATACATTTCTGACAGAAGCCATAATTGTTTTTTATACAATTGTTGTCTCCTTTTACTTGAGCATCTGTTTATTGTTTATAGACTCAAGCTGAAAGGACATGTCCTACTCCCACGGCAGTCTCACAGTCTCCAGGTCTGGTTTGCTTGAGACAGAGCAGAGACGGTGTGGGTGGAACAGATAACAGATAACAGCTCAAGGACAAGATGAAAATAATGATCTTGTATAATGCGCTATGTTCCTGTACAATTACTCTGTTTTGAGCACTAAATTCTCACAGGATGAGGAAAGAAAATAACAAATGTTCCCATATTCAAAATTAACTAACCAAAATAAATTATACTTTGTATGATGATGTATTCTCTGTTTTAAGATAACTTTAGCACAGCAAGTATGTTTCAGGATGAGATATCCCTGAAACCACAGTGTTGGGTATGTGTTTCATTAGAGGAGGAATGCAGGTTGACCCTGACTATGACCATGTAAAATCTGATGTAATTTTACTATATCCACTGAAAAAAACATAGTGGACTCCTGGAAAGAGGACCTGTTCCCTATGGCAATATGAAGAGCTCCTTCTAAGATAACCGAATCAAGGAGATCCTTAGTTTAAAGTAATTACCAGAGATGGAAATAAAGTTATGAATGTTATAATCCAATTCTGCAAGGGCCTGCTATGACTTCCACAACCTGGACCTTTAACCAACTTCCCTCCAGTTCATCAAATATTCATTCACTTTTCAGAATGTTATGCCCCTAGTTTTTTTGTTCTTTTTTCTATATAATCAATGCATTTTTTTTACAGTCTGGGATGGGTTTATGATTAGCAACAAATTTGCATTTCCACTTTTTTGCATTCATTTTCTCAATGGGGCTCAATCTGGGCAACTATAGTAACAGCAACAATTTTGAGCTCAGGACCCTAATAAAAGCCTGTTATAATATAATGCATTACTTTATGTTGTAATAGCCATGGGATCAAACAATTTAGTTTGAATGAGTTTCAAACATTGTTTAGGCTCTAGCAGACCGTCAAAGAGCATCTTGGTCTTGGGTTCTCAGTTTATTATTATAGTAACTAAGGTTGAACTTCCAAAACTCGAAAAATAAACTAAAAATAATGCCAACATATATCGCCATATACATTAATACAGTCAAAGTGATCCAACATTTAAAAAAAAGCCAAAAATGTCCCTGATGATTATGATATTTGATTAAAATACAGTATAATCCAATGGGTGACGTCATGGACACAACGTCTACTTAAAGGTGGGGGTAGGTACATTTCAGAAACCTGCTCGAGTGCACTAAAATTTGAAAGTCCACAGCCAAAAAGAATCCGCCCCTTCCTTCAGACAGAGCACCTCCTCCGCGAGAGCAGGCTGCATTAACGTTACATATCAGGCAAAGCTAAATACATCTAAGTTAGCAATACTACACAGCCAAAGCAACTCCGATATTGACTCTGGTTTGACTTCTCCTAGTTTCCACTTTCTTTTTGTTCTTAATTTGCTCCGAGTCTACTGGTCGCAAAAGAAAAAATGTAGTCTTACATTTGATAATCTGAATGTAAGGCCTTAAAAAGGTCTTAAATATAACCAAAAAAATAAGAAAGGTCTTAAATATGATTTAGAAGGTCTTAAAAATGATCGGATTTAAAAGGTATCTGTGTTGAGATCACGTCTCAATGTGTTTTGGGGGAGATGTCCTGGCTGCAAAGTAACCAGTAGTGATGTGTCGGTCGCGAACGAGCCGATTCTTTTGAACGGATCTTTGGTACGAACGAGGGGAACCGAGTCGTACTTGGTGAGAGCCGTTCTTGTTATCGTTCAATCGTTTGTCAGCACTCACTGCCTGTCAAAATCCACTCGCCTTTTAAAAAGCTTGATTTTGTTCCCCAAAACGTATTCTGTGAAGACCCGCCCCTACTCTGACTGTATCTATCTCCGACACGGAAGCCCTGTCTGCTCTTCACAGCAGCTCCTCACGAGCAGTCCCTTACGAAAAAACACTATAGTATTACTATTAAGAATTACTATAGAAATACCACAAAAAACTGCTATACTATTTCTATGGTGTTTTGGGACACACTATAGAGAATTACTTTAGTAATACTATAGAGTTGGCTATGGTGATCTTATAGTGAAGTTANGCTTTACGTGTCGACAGCATGTTTGAACGTATTTGCAGCAGTAAATGTGGCTGTTTGGCCACTGACGTTGCCATAACAACACCTGAATTTAAATGTGCAACCTCTTTTTGTGACAGATTTTTACATGAAATTATAATTCTTCTGAATGATATACCTATTGACAGCTAGTTTCTATGTGAACATTATGAGATGGACAGCCAGAGAGAATAAATGAAAAACAGTTGTGAAATACTATATGACAAAACAAGAATACAGTTTAAAAGGGGAGTGATTTGTAAAATATAAGAAAAATAAAATCTGTTTACAGTTCTGTTTCATATGGATGTTGAGAGATGTATCCATAGATCTCTTAATTGTGCTCTCAAAGTGCACCAGATTGATGCTTTTAACTTCATTATTTAAAAAAAAATCTTCCCGGGGGAGCATGCCCCCGGACCCCCTAGCGGAGATGAGGACCCCCCCTTGAGGATGTTAGGTCCATGGTGTTTACATGCTTATTTATACAATATGTGTGCTCATGCTAACATCATAAGACAAAAGTTGGTTCCGTGTTGTGTGTAGTGAGAACGCGCTAGAGTGAGGGGGGCCCCCAAGCCAAAGCTCGCTTAGGGCCCCCAAAAGTCTAGGGCCGGCCCTGCTCAGAAGATGAACTACTAAAAGTGCATCTGGAAAAGATATCATGATCCTTGTTGATGTTTGTTTTCCTGAACAACCAAATAGTGTCATTTTAAATGTTGCTGCCACAAGGAATTTTGGGCATGATTGCTTTTTCTTACGTTCCAATGTATCCTAGGGCTAAAGAAAAGAAAAAAGGAAACATTAATCCGCCTTTTATTGGCCTTAAGATATTTCAATCAGATCTTATCATGGCTCCCACTTGGATACTTGAATGCCATTTCAGTCAGTTAGTTAACCTTCATAAGCAAACATGATTTGACTGTTGCCAGAAGGCTCGCATTCAACCAGGTCACCTTGGTAACATCACCATCACCACATAATTATCTGCTTCTTTAGCAGGAACGTTACTTTTAATTGTTGTTAATTATATATAATCATTGGTTCGTCGTGGCAAAAGATCACCAAAATACAATTTTACATAACTATTGACTCCTGAAAATACTCAATGGGTTTCACTTTGTTCTGTGCTGTTTGTTATTAAGCTTTCTTCCTGTGTCATATGAACACGCCATTGCCATGTTTCTCATATTCAGTCATTCTGTTACAGTAAACCCTGTAAAAATGCTTGAATGGAAGACATCTTGAGCATGAAAAAAGTGAAAGACTGTTCCTTGCCCTCCCCCCACCAAAAAGAAAACAAAAGGACATAACTGCTGTCCCCTTTTCTGACCCTCACTTCCACTAATAATTCTCAGCCAGTCCCTAGGGCCTAACCTAATGCTGTGAGGTCTGCTAATGGTTTTGTCAAAGCCATCATGCTTGGCCTAACATTAGAATCCCAGATAACCGAGACCACATTCATAACCACAAATGTACCATAGACATGTGAACAGTTTGACATTGTTCTGTCACATAGGAGGAAAACTCTGACCTGTTCCACGCCGTCCCCTGGTCCTGTGGGACTTTGGGGTTCCTGGTTGCAGCTGAGATTAAAATAGTCCCCGCTAAAGCCTGGGTGAAGCTGAGCTATGAGCCGGTCAGAGGCCTGGAGAACATCTGTAAACGCTTCACTGAAGCATCGGAGAACAAGCAGAACACGTTTGTAGAGGGCCTCCAGTACTCTCTGGATAGCGCTGTCATCATGACTGGAACCATGACAGACCACGCTGAGCCTGATAAGGTAAGGTGTTTGTTAGCATTAATTTGACTCATTTTCACATGTTTTATGACATTTAACCTTCCTTTTTTCTCTCTTACTTCAGATTAATAGAATCGGCCTGCACTTTAAACCCTGGTTCTTCAAACACGTGGAGAGCTACCTTAAAAAGGACACCGCTGGAGTTGAATATGTCCCTCTGAGACAGTACTATCATAGACACACCCGCAGCATCTTCTGGGAGCTTCAGGTACACACACACACACACACACACACACACACACACACACACACACACACACACACACACACACACACACACACACACACACACACACACACACACACAACCAGTTCCCATGACCCTTAGGATCACACAGAGTGCTGCAGGGATGATGTATTTTTATTGGGTGACCTTTCCCTGTTCACGATAGTGAGTTTTCCATTGGATTTTTGTACCGTATAGGCTCTGTGGCAAACAAAAGATTATGAAAATCAAGATAAGTGTGATGAGATGTTTGGAGCGCAAATTCAATTGCCAGAAGTAAAAAACGTTAAAAAGACAATAAATAAACAACAAGCTCATTTTGCCTCTTGTTAGCAACCAAGGCTATTAAAAAAATAACCATTGCAGTAATTTCTTACGTATTTATGTTGTAGAGCAAAATGTGAAACTATCTCATATGTTTACGTTACCCACATAACTTTATTCAGGCAACAAGCCAAACACACATAAAATAACCTGATGACGTAAAATCAAAAGGGAACCGGATATGCAGAAATGCTAACTCATTATCAGGTTCAAGGGCTTATTCCTGCAGCACTCACTCTCAGCTTTATTACACTCTAATGCTCTTTCTCTGTCACACACACACACACACACACACACACACACACACACACACACACACACACACACACACACCATTAGCCATTAGTGAGATGGGCTTGGCATCCTTTGTTTACTGTAACAGTAAGTTGTGTGATAAATTATGCATAGTATTGGTTTGACAGATACCTGCAGGGGCTTACTCTGGCCTTTGGTGTTTTTGAAAGGGTTTGGTAGACAGTGTAGAAGAAAAGTGGAAAGAAAGAAGGCTGACCAATGCGTTGAATAAATCGACAATTTGTGATAGACATCATTAATGTGTGGGATGTTGAAATATGAGTGTTTGGCACTAGGTGTGGGCGCCCTCTGTTGGAAAATAACAGGAGTGCAACTGGATTTTACTTGTCTCATCTGGAAAAAGGTTTAATGTTGAAATTCTATCATTATGCAGAAATTGTCTTAGCTAATAGAGCTGAAAATATTATTGATTGTCGTCCTCATTACCTCAAACCTGAGATAAAGGGTTAATACGACAAACATTCACACATTTCCATAAGCCAAGATAGGATCTTGAATGCCCTTCTACACCCCAAAACACCCACAAATTTAATTTTCTCTTCATTAAATCGGAGAAAACTGAAATCACCAAATGTTTGGCCTTTTTTGCCTAATAAATAACTACCATTTCTTCAAATTATTTGCTGATTGATTAATTGTTCCAGCACTAGTTAAAACAACATGCATCACATAAGGGCATCCTCAGTATCATATTTAACCATTGTTGTTTATGTTGTGTCCTTTCTTCAGGATATTATTCCATTTGGTAACAACCCGATATTTCGCTGGGTTTTCGGATGGATGGTTCCTCCTAAGATCTCTCTGTTGAAGCTCACCCAGGGGGAGACCATCAGACGTCTTTATGAACAGCACCACGTGGTGCAGGACATGCTGGTACCCATGAAGAATCTGCAGGATGCTATCACGCGCTTCCACCAGGACATCGACGTAAGACTGATGAATGAAGCCTATTATTAGCCGCTGTTTATAGTAATTAGTCCTGGTTAAACTCCTGCGTGTCTTGTGTTATTCCAGGTGTACCCTCTGTGGCTGTGTCCCTTCCTGTTGCCTGCAGGCAGAGGGATGGTGCACCCCAAGGGTCAAGAGGACGAGTTGTACGTGGATATTGGGGCTTATGGAGAGCCAAGAGTCAAACACTTTGAAGCTAAAGCATCAACACGACAGCTGGAGAAGTTTGTTCGAGAAGTGCATGGGTAAGTCTAAACAAATACAGGAAATGTAGCATTTGTAAAAAGAATTGTAGAGAATTGGGTAGGGATTCAGTTTAGCCTTTTGAAATTAGTATTTTATTCACATAACATATAACAACAAACACTTGGTTTTATTAACCGTGACAAAAAACAAATTCAACTGCCTCAACACCTAAGGATCAAAATAAATAGGATTGTTTTCCCCACTTGCCTCTCAAGGCTTACGTAGTTAATACATGTGCATTCTGTCTCCTGCAGGTTCCAGATGCTGTACGCAGATGTGTACATGGACCGAGAGGAGTTCTGGGAGATGTTTGATGGACAGCTGTATCACAAACTGAGAGAGGAACTGGGCTGTAAGGAGGCCTTCCCGGAGGTTTATGACAAAATCTGTAAATCTGCCCGACACTGACCCCGATCACTGTGTGACAGATACACTGAGGCAATGTCAACTCATATTTGGTGTGTCTCAACGGCTACAAAAAATTGATTTAAACAAAGATACATTTTGGGCGAACTGCTATAAGCTAAATAATTAGTTGTTTTTGTCTAAAGAGGCTTTTATATCGATGTGAAGCAAAAGCACAAGAATTGTAATGCTAACAATTATCGAATGTATTCTCCTTTTCCCTTTTTCTGTACAACCTTAAACAAATTTTAGTTTAACAAAGTTATCTTTTTTACCTTTTTTAAAATTGTATGTTAGGCACTGTATAACTACCTTTGTGTACATTACATATTTTTTACATTTTTGTCTGTACACCATTCACTAACAGGTCAGCCTTAACTACAAGTGTCATACACTCAAAACATCACTTCCTAATTATCTTTATACATACAATTAAATATATGTTTCAAATAAAGATATACAGGGAAAAAGATGCCAAACAACTATATTGTCACTTATAGGACACCTATTTTTATATCACAATAATGTCATAGCACCAGGACTAAGGATTTAAAACTCTTATCTGCAATAAACATAATTCTCATGATTTAAAAAAAGATACGTCTGAAGTTCTTAGGGAACAATACCATGCTTCGCTTCACTAGTATTAGGGACTCACAGCTGTCACCCAAACATTGTCAAGATTCACCCAGCACATTGCAAAACTTAAATTTGTGTTCCTTTTGTATGTACTTCTGTATCCTTTAACATCTTATTTAAATGGGATTGCATATAGTTAAAGAAATGGATATTTCTTGACAATTATTTCCTTTGGTTTGAATTACTGAATAACTGGACAAGTAGGACACACTTACTTTTTTTGGATGTCATTACTTTTTCTGTTTAATGTAAATTAAAGAAAAATGTAATCTTTGATTATTAAAAAACGATGTTTTCAAAAGCTTCCATGTTATGTGACCTAAAGACTCCAACATGGCATTATATGACAACACTACACCAGCAATGAGACACAACTCTCTTTATTTGATTTCAGTGCCTTCTCTATTTAATGAAAATGTAAAAAAATGCAACCGTTTTTTTATTTAAAACTTTTTTTCAATAGCTTCCATATCATGAGACCTAGACTCACTGTGGCGTTATATGACTACACTGGAATAAGACACCTTTTTCCAATTACATACGAATATAGTTATTAATTTAGCTATTTTAAATAAAGTTATGTGAATTACCTTGGGCTGCATGCTTGTTTAAAGGTGTTATATCAATGAAGAAGAAGAAGAATATACTTTGTTAATCTGAAATTACTTTTATCACATTACACACACTGGTTGATAAGTGGAGATGAGTTTTAATGGTTTCCTTTAATATAAGAAAAATGCAATATTGTTAAATAAGGTGTGAAGGTGCCTGCAGGAATGACCTCTCACACACTTTAAATTCCTCAAGGAGGGGTGACAGGGAAATAATGTGTAGATATTCTAACAGACCAATGGCCCCTCCCCACTGAATTTAGCTTAGCTTCCTTCAGCAGGTAAATCTACTGTCAGATCGGAAGAACATCTTAAACAAGCTGTACGGAAATATTGGAAACAGGTAGGCTGTACTTAAGAGTTAATGCAATAAAGTGATAGTCTGAAGTAACTGCTTAAAGATTATAAGGACTGGTGTCTGCAGCTAATGTTACACTAACAGTTTGTAGCTAACTCGCGGAGTTAACTTCAGCAGATTGAGTTGCTTACATTAGCTGCTAACACACTAGTGAGTGTAGTTACATTATTGCCAACTATTCAGTGGTTTTACAGCATGCTTAGCAAATATCAATAGTTGGTGTTACTTTCGAGACTATTTGTTTCGCAAAGGTGACTTTGAGAGATTTGCTTCGTTTGTTAGTAACACGGGGAGCAGCTGTCGGTTACACTGTCGTATGTTTATAGCCTGCCAACTTTTAGTTAACTTCCTTTCTGTTAGAAGTTTGTTTTAATGCGATGTGAACACATGCAGTTTCAGTTCCCTACTGGTTTGATATAAGTCCACACAATGCGTACAGTCGAGACAATAACCCGCTTTATTTAGGGTACACCGTGTACGTGTACGGGGCACTTAACGCAGCAATGAAAGAAATACAACACTAAACTGTAAGTTTTTTATTAGGGAAGTTGTTGCTGAGCCAGTAGCAATATGTGTGCATTTCTTATCTAAAGGTGTGGATGAGTACACAAACTTTCAGTCTGCATATCAGCAAGTGACTGGGTTTAACAACCCACTTTCACTTTTACCCAGTTTGCTCAGCTTACTTCATGTTTCTTTATTATTTACTTTACGAATAAATATATGTTTAACAACAGAAAATATAAAGAAGATGTGCAATAAACCCCCAAAGACGCTTGATCAGGGCACTCTCCAGGGTAGGCTATATCTCTATCCAATAGAAAAAGAGAAAGATATTTTGAAGGATGGGAAAGAGAAAAAGACAAAAGAAAAGATTGCAACCAATAGATACATACAAGCACACGTAATAAAAAACGATATTCTTTGTTGGCAGTTTACACAGATAAGGATAACATTGCAAATATAAAAAACAACAGATTTTGTTGAATTGTGCTGCTGCTAATTTCAACCGACTATTCCATATCACTGAATGGAGAAGAAAGCATGTGTCCTTATTATCCTTATGATTATGTTTGCAGAGGCTCTGACTGGAGTTAAGTATCGAGCATCACTTGCCTTGCTGGACGCTGGTGTTTTTCTTGGAGATTACCGTGGAGTCCAGACCGGAGACCAGAGAGACTGAAGAGGAAGCATGTCCACTGACACGGAGCCCACGCTCACCGTCAAGCTGCTGCAGCTGGTGCTGCTCTCCTCCTACTGGGGGATGCAGATATGGGTCACCTTCATTTCAAGTTGGTACAACGCACACAGACACACACATGATTCAAAATACAGTTGGAGTTAAAGGCAAGGGATGTCATGCTATATGAACCACACAATAATGACTTATGGGTTCCTCCAGTTTGGCCCGATCATTTGAATGACTACATCTCGGGATGCATTTACTCAAATTTAGATCTATCCACTTGGAACACCTAGCATGATTTTTTAGGCCAATTGTAAGCAGGACCACAGTTGTATCTGAGCAAACAATTTTATGCCTCGGCCCTGACTTACTTTAGTTTGAGCTTGGTCCCCAATGACCAAAGGTCCACTTAAAGGTCCCATGTCATGGCCATTTCCACTGATCATAATTCCATTGTTGAGGTCTACTAGAATAGATTTATATTGTGCAATTTTCCAAACTCACATTGGTTTCTCAAACAGCATCTCTGTAAACTACGTGTATTCACTGAATTTCACTCTCTGCCTTTAACGGCTCGTTGTAGCTCCAGTAGCTCCAGCCCCCACCCTCCCTGTGAGAACAGTGTGATATTGAGTAAGAAAAAGGTTGATAAACGCTGTGAGAATGGGTCTGCAGAGAGAATTTCGCCGCGATCCCAACTATCTGTTATCAGCCTGCAGCCAGGGAGGAGAGATCAGCAGAGCTGCATGCACTGAGTGTGTGTGTGAGGAAGTCTGTGGATTGGTCAATTTGGACCAATCAGCGGGGGCTTAACGTAACGGCTCCACGGACGTAACGTAACGGTTCCACGGATTGGTCCATTTGGTTCCGGGTAACGCATGACATCATGAGTTACCCGGAAGAATCAATGGACAGTGACGTATCTCCAACGAGGCGTTTTGGGGAGGTATTTTCTGTGTTAGAGTTTTACTCGCTACAGGGTGTACTTTGAGGGTTTTGACTCTGCAGACCGTTTACATGCATAAAAACCTTAATAACTGGAAAAGCATGACATTGGACCTTTTAAGTCATAGTTTTTTAATAAACTAAACCTTGTGTTTGTGTTATATTGTTCTTGTGGAAATAAGAGATTCCCAGCAGTGCTAATGACCTTTTTTCTGCTCAGGCTTTGTGATGGACAACCACCTGAATAGACACACTTATGGGTTTATCCAGAGTCGTCTTGTACCGTTCTATCTCCACTTGGGTTCAGCTTGTGCCTTCTTTAACCTCACTATCTACGCTGTGTATCATCCCAGCGACCTGCTGGACGAAAGAGAAGCATTCCAGGTGTGTTGCTTGTTCCAAAACATAAAATCACATAAAACCAATTTCTGAATATCTTTTTAATCTCTGACTCTTCTGTCCCCACCAGATCTTCATTTTCTTTGTGTCGGTGACAGTTTCAGCTGTCAACGCTCAGTGGTTTGGACAAATGACATCAGAGATCATGGCAGATATGCACCTGATCGAGCAGGCGTGCGGATTGGGACAGGACATCGGCTTGTCATCGAACCGCGAAGCTTACGCCAAGTTGTGTGAGACAGATGTGAAATACAGACACCTGAGCAGTCGCCTGTGGCTGTACAGACTGCTGTCCTCCCTCTGTAACCTCTGCTGCATCGGCTGCAACTTCTACAGTCTCTGTTACATGGCTGAGAACCTCAGCAAACTTTAAACTGACAGAGAGCAGCTGGACTGTTACATCTCTGAATAATAGTCACTCCCATTTCACCACTATAAATTTAAGCCCTTCTATTTTTTGTATTGAAGCAATAAGTTATACATTTAATACTTATATCTTTCTCTCTCTGCCTTTAAGTTATGAGATACAAAGTAAGGTAAGCTTCATGTGCCTTGGGGATTCATATAATGGTGCAGCTGCCAATCAAATCAGGGTCACTAAAGCTGCATGTCTCTGCTAAAGGTTGTAGGAAGACAAATCAGTTGCCATGAGTAATGCCTCACCTTTCACCTAGTTTGGCTACTGCCTTGATATTTCCCTTCACCAATATAAATGTGGTACCTTTCAGGAACCTGGAACATGAGGGACGTTTTTAAAAAGACCTTGTAATGCAGTACCAGACACCTTTTGAGAAAATAAATAGCCAAATATGTTGCTTCTGTTTATCTTATTTAGCAAAAGAGAGGCACATTTATGTCATGCGGCTCGGTCCTGCTCCTCGGTCCTGCTCCTCCTGTTTGGGTGCGGTTTGAAAACGTAACGGTGTAGTAGCGCAGGTTGGTCTGGCTCACCTGAAGAGCTGCCATAAAGTGAAATGTTACCTATCTTTAGCTCTCCTAGCTGCTTGCTGCTAGAAAGAGAAGGGTTCAAACCTTTTTATTATGTGGTATTACTGCTTTAGACCAACACAAACACACTTGCACCATAAAGGTTATTTATTTGTTTATTGGAATTTGGATTTTTGTTGGTGTTTATCAAATGTTTCAGTGTATTGCTTTGTAAATTATGCATTGGTGTATGCCATACGTTTTTTTGGGTTGCCCCACAGGTTAGTCTAGTGTTGTTGAGACTTGCTGAGATGATGTGGGTCTATTTCAACCAAATACCTGTAGTGATAATAATAGTATGGAGATCCCAGAAAAACGTAGTGGGAATTATTTTCTGAACTTCTTTTGCTTTCCTCTACAATACCACTTAGCGTTACTTTTTGTGTGTAGTTTAGGAAGAGGTCCTTCCAGGGCTCTTTAGAAATGACCTGAATGAAATGTCTGCACTCAGCCCTTCTAACTAATAAAGCCAGCCTCCACTGATCATATCTTTATATATACTAGTGAAGGAATTTAAAGATTTACAAAGCCGTCGGGTATTTATCTTTAATTCCTCAAGTGTGTTTAGCTTTGTTCCCGAAAGACTCCACATAGCTTGAGTCTGAATATGTTCGAACAGCTGTGGGGGAAATGATGCAGCCATGGTAAGAATTGAAGCCAAATCCTTTTTTCTTTTTTTTTTGTTAGTAGTACTGGCACATGAGTGTTCTGTGCTGTACACTTCCCAGGTTTCACCATTTTTTCTTTTGTCAAAGCTTGAATATCTTTCTATCATGTTTGTTTTGTGCACAGATCTGTGGTCTAATGATGTAAACAAAGCTCTCAATGTATGATGGACTCTCCTTGTTGTACCTGCTTAGGTTCTTCTATCGATTTGTCCGGTTTTTCTAGTGTTTTATGCGTAAACAATGCAATATTTACTGATTTTAAACTGTACACATACTTTTTTATTGTTTCCTGTTATCTCACCCAGTTTCAATTAATATAACATTTGAATGCAAATCAATTTCACACAATATCACAGTTTTTTGCAAAACACACAAGCTATATATTTTTTAATTTTCGAAGATATTTTTCTTTTAATCTTTGGACACTTATGCCACTTTCTTCATGTATTTGTGGTAATGGTTTATGTTGTGTAATGAATGTAAGTCGAGTAAAGCAGTACGGCACAGTGGAAACACGGTATAAGTAACTTAAAGACCAGTGAGGGCAGACACCATGAGCTGTATTTAATGTATGATATTAGGTTTGTTTCATAAATGCCTTGAAATGGTTTCAATTTTATTTTTATTTTTTTAAATATGTCCTATGTTTGGTGCTTTACCCATTTTAATGTTTATTAATTTGAAATATTGCCTCGGGCAAAACTGACAAAATTAGCACATTCTTCTATGTAGCTGTAGCTCAGTTTTTCAGTATGCTACATAAAAAAAGCGAGTTATTAAGATTACATTTTTTTAAGCTTTAAATCCTAAAGAATGTTTTGCATATATTTTAAGAACATTTTATTAAATGTAAAGCCGTATAGTATGCGTGTATGGAGAGGGTCAGTGTAACAGCCTTGAATTCACATACATCATCTGTTCATATGTTGAATATTGGAAGTTGGTTTATATAAAATGGGCCAGAAAACTGAATGATGTGTAGGATTTAACATTTGATTTTAGTGACTCCTAGTGGTGGAAAAAAGCAAGGCAGGAGAAAGTGGCATTACAAACATAAATTAAAATGTTCTTCCACTCACTGTTTCTATAAATAAGTGTAGGGTACATTTGTAAAACCTTTATAAGAGCTTGAATGTAGCCCTGGTGTACAACTTTGAGAAGAGAGGGACTCTTGAAGCACATTTGATCCTGCAGATCTATGTGATGTCATGATTTGCCAGCTTTAACAGAAGGGGGAACTGTCGCTCTACTGTTGATCATTATAAGCTCAAGCACAGAGGCTCAGTTACTGAACTGTTTTGAATTATCCTGTGTTGTGCGACATTTGACAGTAATTACGAAATATTTCAAGAATCAGTCATTTGAACAGGACTTACATTGGACATTACAGAGCATTGGAGAACTTAAAGTTAGCAACAGTCGAATTCTACCTTTGAAATCAAAACATGAACAGAAATGTCAAGTCAGAGTTTTTTTAATGTAAAAATACATCATTGTGTTTCAGCTACAAATCCATGGTTACCGTGTTTGAGATGATAACAGCATCACCAATTCAAAAGCCACTCCACTTACAAAATGAATATTAGTCTAAAAAAAAAGTAATAAATACAAAATGGTGTAGATAAAAAAGGTTTAAAAAAAAAAGATAGACGCTCGTACCTGACTATTAAAAGGTTTAGAAAAACACTTATCTCTTGTAATACTTTTAAACCTGAAATGTACATTTCGGAAGAATACAATAATCTCAATCTCAATAATGGATGTAACAGGAGGTGAGGCAACTCAGTTTCACCCCTTTGCAGGTGCTACCTCAGTTCAAAGTGCGATAACATTGTGTCAAGAAAAAACAAAACATATGGATCCCCTTGTACAAATAACAAACTATTAACAATTGTTTGTTAATTCTGCATACAGAGAACCAGTTACAGCCATGGAGAGTCCACAACTAACATTCGGTAATACTGAGGGAGAAAAATGTAAACGATAATTATAAAATATCTCCCAAAAGGAGACGGCAACATTTATTTAAAGCCACAATCCTTAATGGGAACCAACAGCCCACTGCTAATCCACTTTGGTTGTTTGAAGGATGAGGTTAGATCACTGTCATTACCGTTTGTCTGTAACAAGCTTAGAACAGTGTATGTGCTAAAAGGAATGTACTAAATACTGAAACAATAGATAATGACAGTGTCAGTGCATCTCACTGTGCTTAGAAGGCATCTAAAGTTACATTCCTTGTAAACAGCAAAACAGAGAAGGCAATACAAGATAAGGATTGTGCCTTTAAAATAACCATCATTTAAAAGTCCCATGATTCAATCAGTACACAACCATGCTTTAAGTAACCGATAGTTCCAGCTGTTCCTGCATTCAGGAAACATCACAACGTTTAACGCTAAGTTTGTTAAGTGTGAGGAAATGTTCTAATATAATAAATATGTTTCCCTTATTCTCAATGCTCACATGTACAGTATCAAAATACAAATATTTAAAAAGAAAACACCGTTTAAAAACCAACTGACAGTCACGGTGATGGCGAGGCTCCATTTCCATACAGACAGAAAGAAGTTAACCCCAACACCGTTCAAAGACTTTCCTGCTAAAATACTCCATAAATAAAAGTCATACTAAAAAATAGAGCTTTTATTTCGTTGATCAGCAGAAAATACTATAAGATCCAGTGTCTTTGTCATACGACCACCTTGCCCTTGATGTCCAGCTTGGTGTTTTCACTTGCTTTGTTCGACTGCTCCTCTGTGAGAGTGATGTAGGAGTACACCAGGCTGCCCGCAATACTGCAACACACACAGCAACCACGAGTGAGAACACTAACACTTGCACAAGAACACCATATGGACAATAATGTTTTATTCTTCTGAAAGGCTGGATAGCATCATATAGTGAGGGGAGAGAGAGGCTACTAAACCTTTTTATCTGAGTGTAAGGCAATGTGAGACTTGAAAGAACGGTTATTTGTTTCAATCAGCATGAACATGTTGCAACACATCTTCATTCATAAAACGGATCATACTTCCCAACAAGATCCGTCTTGCACTAATACATTTCTGCAGCTGATTGGCACTTTAGTATAAGTGATATCTGTGGGAGAATATTATTTAGGCGTTCCCAGTTTAAGGAGACCAAGTCTGACTCAATACTAGTGGACCCTCCCCAACTAGCTCACAGAACGTTCCTAATGACAAATGTAATGGCAATCCTCCCAGAGATATTTGAGTATGTAGCTAAGTAGTTGGTGTAGAGGAGTGAAGTACGAGAACACTTGAAAAAGTGCCTGGGTGTATTTGAGAAAAATCCATCCTTGTATAAAAACATGTAGACATTTCATCATTCATTTGATCCTTATATACCTGATATTCAAACCAATGAAGTTTGTCCAAGAGAAGATGTAGTCTCCGCTGAACACCATCCCGATGTATGTCACCAGGACATTCTGTAAAATTAGGAACATATTATTAAGGCTAAATGTTTTTTTACCGTGCATCTCACCATTACATCACACTTGTCTGCTGTTTACCTTAATGCACCCCACGATGGTAGTTGTTAATGCAGAGTTGTATTGTGTACACAGCACAGTGGAATACATCAGAACGAACCTGAAAAACAACAATGGTGTCATGTTACTCATCACTCAACGCTTGCTCAAGCATAAAGTCAGATTTCACAATGTGTTAAAGCGAAACGGTAAACAAAGAGTCATTGTGAGCTTCAGAAGGAAGTGGAGCTTTGGCCTAGGATCCAGCTGTCACTGATATAATAGTGATGCCACAGATATCTAGTATAATCCAGATGTTCAAATTCTGGCACAAAAAACACAACCCTTGCGCGAGCATGCACATCACACAGAGAAGCTTTGTCCAATGTTCTTACCCCATGATGCAAGACATGATGAACAGGGCGAGGAAGAACATATCTGACCAACCATCATATTCCACCGCCTGAAAGAGAAGCACAGCATAAGAAACAGCAGAACTCAACAGGTCCAAATACACATATACAGATAAAACATATCAAAAAGGGTAGGCAACTATGTATACATATATATATATATTCCGTGAATAACTGTGCAATATGGATGCTACATCTTCAGAACTGTTACAGGCCGTGTATTTTGTAAATTGTGTAATTGTTTATCTTTAATATTTTGTTTTTGTATGCATACTTCTTGTTAAACATTAAGCTGTCTTTGGCTCTTTTCTGCTGTAACAAATGTTCATTTCCCCTCTGTGGGACGAATAAAGGTTTTCTGATTCTGACCCGATACAAAAATGATCTTAGCCTAAAATATTCAGGATATTTAGTACGAAAAGTCCTTCCTTATAGGTCTGTCTGGTGTTTAGTAAATAAAGATTTACTAAGTGCTGCGCAGTTGTTAATCACATTTTAGGAAGTTGATGGCATCATCTATTACGTTCTTAAAGATTCAACACTGAGTTTTCCAATGGCCTTAAAAGGTAGTAGTCTGCATCTCATGAGGTTTTCCAGTCAAAGGAGGCTGTAGGCGCTGCTGTAATAACTCTAGGTGCATAATGGCAGCTTTGTGCCTTTCTGGCTGCCGGGCAAACCAGAAGGTCTCTGCCAACACTGACCAACTAACAGCAGCACATACTTACAGCACACGCCCAGGACTACGTATGTGCACTCAGTATAGTTCAGCATTAAACCTCATCAGTTACAACTATATAAGCTGCAAAGACTCAACTTGGTAGTTTAAGTTCAAACACTTACATTTCACAAATCTTATGAATAAATCTTCTGTGATTTTGGATTTTAAGTAAAGATAATAAAAGATAGAGCAGATAGAGAAGAAATATAGAGTCAAACTGCGTACCTTCTGAATATCTCCAGTCAAATGAGCCAAGATTATAGTAGGAATGATCATAAATAATGCATTATAATACAGCAATCCATACTTCCCCAGCTCCTGTGAGAAAGAGCATGGAAACAGATGAGCAGTGAGCAGCAGGAACATGAAAAACATGCAGAGCCAGAACAGAGAGGGTTATTCACAATTCTTTGAGAGCATTCCTCACTAACTAGTATACATGTGTCATGCATGACCAGCACACTGGACTACCTGGAACCTCTATGTTTTAGTCTGATTTGGTTTCACGTGACTCCATCTTTCAGTCCCACACACACACACACACACACACACACACACACACACACACACACACACACACACACACACACACACACACACACACACACACACACACACACACACACACACCTTGTGCTGTGTTAGCAGATGGTGCTCTATAGACATCACAGACTAAATCTGGATCCAGTTCAGCGTCGGCTGAAATGTGAGAACTGAGCAGTATGCTCATGTGATATAAGAAGCTAACTAAAACAAGCTACTGAACATTTGTGACCCAACAGTCAAACTGAAATTAGCCTGACTGTTCAAAGTAATGCAAGAAGACATGCAAACCAAATAGAAAAACAGGGACACTTTCTCTACAAAAACATATAAACAGTGACAATCTAATCAATGTAGTGGGGAATGAAAATAACTGACTCCTGGTACAGCGAGTACCTTCAAGCCAGACACTGAAGGACAGTTTGGGTTCTCTACATTCACCAACATCAGCTCATGGCCAAAAACAGCCTCAGCCCAACAATGGTTACTATTCATCAGATGGAGCTGCCACATACCTTTGCATCTAATTTTTGTTTGACATAGGCACCGTTGGCTGCAGTCAGCACGTCGTTCATGAGAATGAAAACGTAGCCTTGCATGTCAAAGGACAAGTCGGCACTATAGAGGTGAGAGAAAACCAAAGAAAGTTTTGAGGAGATAAATGGAACGTTGTCAGTAAAAATGTAGCTTTGGGCATGTTGTGTTTCAGCAGGGTTCCTTTTATTACAGATAAACATGTGTGTAATGACTGTAAAGACAATATAACTTCAGTGAGGACATATGTCAGGGCAGGACAACCCTTTGTAGTGAAGGTAATTTCGGTTTGCTTTAACAGCCGGGACACCTGGATGTAGGAAGACTTACCTTGCGGCTATGAATGCCCCGAGGATCATTGTAAATACTGTCAGCTGGACTGGCCTGGAGAATTTCTTCCTGCCAAAGGTTAAAGACAGCAGAGCAATGAAACTCTATCTGGTTGCTGTGAGTTGTAAATTAAAGCCACAAATATAGATCAAAGACGCGACTAGTCTTGGTATCCCATCGAGTAAAAGACAAGTACATGATCAGAGAAAAGTGGGCTTTCTGTCACATGCACACTTACTTGAGCAGCATTCCCTCTGCCATCATTGTGAACAGTATGGAGAACCTTCTGAGGACAGTAAACATCGGCAGACTGGTGGAAGAGGACATACATGGCTTTAGCTTGGTTTGTTTCTTTAAGCTTTTCAATAGAAACCTGGTATGGCAATATCAATGTCAACATAGACTCGGTTACATTGTGAAATTGATAGTTCTGATTGTTTGAAGTGGGGGTTTATGAGGTACTCAAAAATCTGTGTTTTACCTATAGTAGCAAGGCTCTGAGAAACAGGTAGGGGTAGCAGCACAGAAGTTAAGCAATGTCCTGCTTCTGACAGTGTAGTTAACATACTTAAAAAAACGACCTACCAATACAAGAATGCTATATTTAGACTACTTTAACCACTTTACCTTGCCATCAGACAGTCCTTTCAACAGGTAACTGAAGCCATCATCTATGCTCTCTTCATAGCCACTGACCAAAACAGTAATTTTACCCCCGCATAACACAGTAGTTTGCCTATTGCTGCCTGTGGTGTTTTAACAGTGAAATGACTGTTTTGGTCAAAAGTAGACTGGTGGCAAGATAAAGCAGTGAAAACATTCTAAATATAGTTTACACTTAACCAGATAGAGATATTTTAAGGTTCTCTTTCTCTTTAGACGGCTAAAATACACTTTGCTGTTGTGCTGGTACAAATGTATCATTATTTTCCAAACTGGGGGTAATACACTGACTATAGGAAAGTACATTATATAACCCTAATTAAAAAAATCCAAACTACCCCTTTCAGGGAGGCATGATTGATGTTAGCGAGCCCAAAGCAACCTCTGAGGTATTTGATCTTCTCCCTTCAGGCAGAAGATACAGGGTTCCCAGGTCAAAGTGCAATATATTTAAAAGTGTCCCTAGTGCTATTAACATCCTTTATTTGGACAGGAGGTAATTGTTATTCTGCACCTATTTTACTTTTACGTTTTTTACTCATGCTTAGCATTTCTCTATCCAATTCTATTTTTTTTAACTCCCATATATACACAACTTTTTATTCACCAACATTGTTGTACTGTTGCGTGTACTGTCATTGTTGATCTGAGTTTTCCCAATTGCTTCAATGATGAACTGATCTGAATGAGCTCATGACAGTAAATGTTACTCCCTCGAACCATAATTCAGACCTAATTAGTTTAGAGATGCAAACTTACTTCAGCCTTTTGGTACCAAACAGACCAGTGATTTGATTTCCCACATAAAGGAGAGGTAGAGGAAACGTCTGCAAATGAGGTACACATAAATGAAAAACTGTCCTGAACATGGTGAACTTAATACTCGATGAATGGACAGATGGTCTCACCTTGCGAGGTATGCTCTCATCACAATCAGGGAAGGTGATCACCCTCGAAGCCTTGCCCACCCACAGCACAACCACTGTGGCAAACATCTGCACACACATTCAACAGAACATTACTTTGCTTTAAGGGGTTGATGTGTAATTGTGAAATCGTGACAAAAGAGGGGAACAAACATTCAACTTACTTGTCCTATTCCGACACATATTGAAGAAGGGAACCTGGAACAGCAGAGTTGAGAACAGCTTACAGGCTGAGCATACTGTAGCTAACACACTAAACACACTCACGTTGAAATATATAATTTAGAGTTAGCTTCCTAAAATGCTACTTTAAATGTATATCCTATGTAGTTTTGTATACAATCTCGCTAGCCAAAAGTTGCCGTCAGTCAACAAGCTCCATCGCTGTACAGCCGACACAAGTTGGTAGGCTAGCTAACAAGGTAGCTTAGCAAGTTAACCGTTACTGTTCAACTCGCTACGAATTACCGTTACCTGTAGTTGGTGAGGACACTTTTGTTCACCACGACGATGAAAAACGAGCTCACGCCGTAAAATCCAGCGGCAAACAGCTTCACAAACAGCGTCAGAGGTTTGTCCGCCATCCCCGAAGACTTCTCATTCCTCTCTGACAGTCGCCTCTTCCTCTGCCATCTCTTCAACTGGCTCTCTCTCCCTCCCTCTCTCTCTCTCTCTCTCTCTTTCTCTGACACGCACATACACGCGCACACACACACACAAACACCGAGGTTTCACAACTTCCTCCTCAAGTCTGAACATCAGAGAGCATTCAATTTACACTGTATTAATTAAAGGTGGGGTAGGTAAGTTTCAGAAACCGGCTCGAGATACACTTTTTGTTATATTCCATGGAATGCTCTTAACATCCCAATAGCAATGAACATCTCAAGTGCTTTGACAAAAAATCCATAAAAAAAATTCATCTGTGGAACCCGTAATACTGTAAAAACTACAACCAATCCGTTTAGCCGGCCCGCCTAAACGGATTGGATTGCCGCCCTGTCCGTCAGCCTTCCATCTCGTGCACGCACAAATGTATCTCGTGCCCTCATTGGGCGTGCAACAGGCGGCCACTTTCCCCATGGCAGAGTTTGGTTCAACATCGTCTACTGCAGTGGCGGCTGGTGGAAATTATTTTAGGTGGGGCTATTGTAATGGTGAATAAACCACACGGGGAACATTTTGAGAAATTACCCCTTAAATTAAATTGGCTACACTATTTCATCGTTGCTGTTGTATGATTGGTGTTTAGCCACGGTATTTAGCGTCTACAGCACCTTCGCTTTTAGGGTTGACGTAAACCCAAACGTCGCCCGGAGGTCCCCCGGTGTTGTTGCGGGAGCTGCTGCACTAGCTAACGCTCCACTAGCTAACGCTATATTAGCAAAACAAACGCTTATTTCTTTTGCAAATGGTGCGGCGGGCTTCAAACACGTTCCCCTCCACTGGTTTCAACCAAGCACTAAATTTGCTGTTTTCCAACCAAATATGGTTGAACTGACACTTCCCCATATTAATTTGGAAGTAGATTCGAAGATACATGAGTTTCTGACTGCCGCAAGCTGAAGCTTGGTTGCTAGGGTACTAGCTGGGTGTTCTCCAATAAGGGGCCGGGGGAAACAAAGTTAGTGATTACTGGTTCCATGTTGATTTAATTCAATACAAATTGTTGGGGGGAACTGAAAGGCTATTACCGTACTGGTTACTTTGCAGCCCGGACATTTCCCCCAAAACACATTGAGACGTGATCTCAACACAAAAGTAACTTTCAAATCCGATCATTTTTAAGACCTTCTAAATCATATTTAAGACCTTTCTTATTTTTTTGGTCATATTTAAGACCTTTTTAAGGCCTTAAATTCATATTATCAAATTTAAGACTTTTTAAGACCCCGCGGGAACCCTGTATACATTACATTAGGAGGTTACATTACNGTTCGACATGAAGCTAGAAGCTACCTTACAGTACACAGTTGATACTGAGTGCTAGGTTGATGCTTAGCTAAGCTAACTATGAAACACTTTAACTGACAGAACTCAGTATCAACTGTGTACTGTAAGGTAGCTTCTAGCTTCATGTCGAACTGTAAGTCAACATTTTCCAGAGAGCTTTCTTGAAATCACCAGGTAACGCTCAAAAACATTACATTTAGATTGTATTACTAAGTGTTTATTTAATATATCTGGCTAGCTATAGCTACTTGCTAACGGTTTAGCTTACCCCCGTGATTCAAAGTAACTTCAACGTAGCTGTAATGTATGCTTTGCTTACATGTTCGCATATCTTGGAAGTTTACTGACAAGAAAAGATGTTCTTATGTCCATCTTCAAAAACTCTGAGTCCGACTGACAGTTTAAACATTGTCACAGCTCACAGGATAGGTACCTGTCAGCCAATAAAACAGATTATTTCCATTCAACTCTCTGGTTGGTCTGGTGTCTTGCCTCTGTTGCATTCACTGAACACGGGAAATTACAATTCTGCCGTCCTCTCTAGTGTCATGATGAGGTTCAGGTAAAGCATGGTGGATGTATTATATGATTGACTCAATAATATAATAGATGACTTTGAGAGTAGGCAATCTAGGCATATTAACACAATTAATTAAACATACTTATCACGGCGACGGTGTACTGAGATTTATTTATTTTTTTGCTAGGGGGCCCCTAGTGGCTGCGGGGCCCTAAGCGGGCGCTTATCTCGCTTAATGGGTCGGGCCGGCTCTGCTTCTGAGCATGTAGTTTCAACATGGCAGACCCACGTCAAAAGCGAATTCTGTCGTATAACTATATATCCTAACAGTGTAAGTACCGTCAAGGAAAATAAGTCCGTAAAAGACATAGGACATAAGTCTTGTGACTTTCTACTGCAGCCCTGGAGTCAGAAGCACATCCAACACACTCAATACTCACCTCAGTGCAGCGTACTAAGCTGCCATCAGCTAGAACCAGCTCAAATGCGACACAGATGTGCTGAAATAGCCCGTAAATGTGAGAGGATGACTCAATGCCTGTACCCATCACCAAACCACCTGAGAGAGGAGAGAGAATAACATATTTATTCTTGGTAATTCAATATCTAGCCAGGTGAGAAGCAACAGCAGGCAAACACAAAAGCAGAGACTAGCGTAGCTGGCTGGGATTGAGTCTGTACAGTATGTGCCTGGTTAAACATCAGGATAAATGAATGTACCGCGGCCTGATGGGAAAACATTAGATTGTTGATGCACAGTTTATAGCATCAGGAAATCCATTATGAAACTCGATCCAGGGGTGCTTCGAAAGCTGCAGCCATTTCCTCCCAGTTTCATCTTTGAGCGACAGCATCAATCCTCTAACACGATTAGAGAAGTCGCTGCTGCTCTCAACAGGATGCAGTGATTGAAGGAGGAGATGCAGCATCTGCCTCACGGAACAATGAGCGGTGGAAATCATCAGTGCCTCTATTTCTAGAAACCGATCACAGATGATGCCGCTCTCTGATGGTTCTCCAGAAAATAATTCACAGTTATACAAATAACGTACCCACAGTGAGGTCATCGAGCTCGGGCAGCACTGGCAGTGTCCAGCCAATAGAGGTGAGCAGAGCGGTCACCTGACCCATGTTGGCCAGCGGCTCAACCCTCACCACCTAAAAAACAAAGATCACTTGAGTAAAGAAAACCCCATCAGGCTGACAACAAACATCCAGCCATGTTCATTTTAATGAGTAGTAGCTTGAAAAGTGAATAATTACAATTTTTGTTTTGTTCATACTGTCCTCCCCCCCAAAAAAGAAAGAATATATTGTATAAAAAATGACTACTAAAAAAGACTGTTTCACAACGTGCACCTGTCGTAGATAAGCTACCCTAGAACAAACATTATGTGGTTTTTAGAAACCATCAGCAAATAACTTACTCTGTTGTTTAGGAAAATTGATGTTTTGATCCTTTCTATTGGTTTTTAATCAAAACACCGGTTAAATGCTGAGATCTGGGAACATGGTATCAATAATTTACAGAAAATGTATGTGGCCAAAAACAGATGAAGTCGGACGATCACAGAGGTTTAAAACAAACCCCCAGGCTATAGCCAAATGTATTTTGGAAGAAAATAGTAGAATACAAAGGATTAGGCAGAGCATCCCTTCAAATTAAGTTTTGCGTCCTTGTCTTTATTGTTCAGTTAAGGTGACGTCCCTCTTTGTGTGAGTAGCTTCTTGCTATACTGAAGCAAAGTGGAGCTTTGAGTTTGTAGATGTTTAGTAGATATAATGTTTACCATGCAACCATTCAACAGTTTAGCAGTGTTATCATGCTGACGTTAGAGACACAAATCCTGCCGAATCCTCCTACCTGCTTCCTGGTGTCCACCTCCAGAATATCCATCATGTTGATCATGATGTTCTTGTGTGTTTTCTTGTACTTCCCAACTCTGAGAGAAACTGTGAGCCAGCCGGGGCGACCTGTACACATGTATTTCTTACTGCCGTCCTTCTTCCACTCGCGCACCTGAAATGTGTCATAAGACATGAGACAGAGACAAACACATAGGGGATACACAGCATTACCAATATTTTGTGACAACCATAGCTCTCAGTGTTTAATAAGAGAGCATTACGGCCCTGTATATTGGTGTTAAATAAATCAAATGAATAAATCAAATGTATGTTACGATAATTTAGTACAAGCATGTTCAAACGAAATGTTTGATACTGTGTGCATTAGAAGTAATACATCCTCCAGTTGCATAAAAGCAGGTAAATGAGTAAGTGCATGAAACACTTGTTGTGTAATAATTGATTGATAAGATAACAGAGATAAAGCCATGGATTCTTACATCACAATGCCCTGCCAACAAAGTGTCCTAGCTTCCATATATCTAACATAATTGAAAACAGTCTATCATATTTTAAACACTATAATTATAAACCCCTGTTGAACATGCCAATGATACTCCTAATTTAGATTAACAAATACCACTATACATTACTGGTATAGTATTACAATGTTATGGGGTATACTTGTCTATTCGTCACCTTGTCCAGCTTTGTGGTCCATGTTACTAGCTGCAGTCTTTATTAGGAGTAGAGTGAGAGCAATGTTTGACCAATAAAGGTGATTAAGAAAACTCAGTTTAGGTAATTTAATTGAATCTCTGTTGCTGTAACCTCCCGTGACTTTTGGTGTTTTTTTCTTTTTTCAAAACCGCTGATAACACATATCCTTGTTGCCAGTGGTGGAATGAAAAATGTTTTGACACACTTGTATTTCCATTTTACGCTTCATTCTACTCCTATTCATTTTGGAGGCAAATATTTTACTTTTTACTGTTCTGCAATTATTTAGCACCCATACTTTCTATCTACGTTTTATACATATACACACCCATGATAAGCGAATATGATATGATGCTGTAATATACTACAAATTTCCAGTTTTTGAAAAAAGTTAATACAATTGGCTCCAGTTTGACAAACCTTAAAGTGATGTGACATTTATATATTGGTGATAAAAACAGAATAATATTTCATACTACTGAGAAAAGAGACATTTGGTGAACAGAGTAGCCTACTTTTTCTTTTGATAGTTGAAGTAAATATTACTGATGATATTTATGTACTTCTAATTGAGTCAATTAAGAGACAATAAGACAATTCAGGACTGTGACCTGTAATGGAATATGTTAAGACCATAGTAATGATTATCTTACCACA